CAGTGTGACTTCCCAGCCCCAGTGTCCCCAGTCTCCCTCCCACCCCTTCGAGCCATCCCCACTCCAGCCTGCCTCAGGCAAGGGATCTGTCTGCTTTATTAGCAATTCAGAGAAACAGCTTCGCCTGTTACGAGTTTCCGTAGAGAATGTTAACTGTGTTCATTCCTTCTCCATATTTTCTTCCCTTTCCTTTGAGTTCATTCAGGTCGTTTAAATATACTTAAATCTTTAATTTGTTTGCTTACACGTTAATTTTACCTTTTTGAATAAACCGTTCAAGTCACGTCTTTCACACATTTGACTGCGCTGTCCATTTATCGGTCTGCTCCATTTGTCGTTCAGTATTGCCCATTTAAATATTTCCGTTGTGATTTGATGTCCTGTGGATTTGGGGGCGGGGGCTCCCCCATGGCGGGCTACGTAAGGCCTGTGCTCCGCGAGCCACGAGACGCCCGCTCCCCCTCGCAAGCCCGGGCGGCTGTGATCTCTGCAATGACACGCTTTCTTTTCTTTCCTTCTCTTCTTTTTTCGTGGAGGGGGTGGCACACCCCACAGAGATCAGTCCTCTTGACTCTGCACTCAGCGATCACTCCCGTGGGGGTCGGGGGACCTTGTGGGGTGCCGGGGACGGCATCCCGGTTCACCGCGGGCAAGGCCAGGGCCCTTCCTGCTGTGTTGGTGCTCCAGCCCCCTGTCATGACAATACGGGTTGAGATTTGCTTTACGGCCTGGTAAGTAATTAGTTTTCATGGAGGATCCATTTATTGTGGCTGATAAGAATCTATCTTTCAACGTTGGTTGCAAGGTTCTATCTATCTGCATTTGAATAGGCTTGAGAATCACGTTTAATTTTATTTTTCCTTTTGAGAATGTTTCGGAAAGATGCTAAAATGTTTCACTGGTGGCAGGTTTCTCAAATCCTCTCCCGGTTTAATCAAATTTGACACTGTTTCATGAAGCCAGTACATATTTTTGGTTATTATCATTTTATGGGTAATTTGACCTTTTTTCCCCTGTTCTGTGATAGTCTCTTTGCACAGTGGTGCTTTGCTGCTTATAGCCTCTGTGCATTTCAGGTCACACAGCGCAACGGCCACCCGGTCTGTTTACCTGTTTACACACCCGCTCTCCTTCCTGTGCTCCAGGGAAGTTAAGTGTGTCTTTGGAGAGACAAAGTAGCTGGGCCGTTTCTCTCTCCAGCCACTGAGGTTTTGTCTGTTGCTAGTCAGTCAGTCGATATGATACACTGTGGCTCTTCCCCAGTCAGCTTATTTCCACCCGGTTCGTTTGGTATTTCGCCTTCCCTATCCTCTTATTCTCAGTTTGTTGCTGTTGATCAACATTTTTGTTAATTCGAAAGTTTAGACTTTGCTTCTGCTGCTGGGATGTATACGCTGCCTCTGTTACCTAAAACCACTCTGAGCTTTGCAGTGCAGTTAAGAAATCTAAGGTCCGGGATTATCTCGCTGCTCCGGGGGCATTTTGCTTCAGCACTTGGGGTCTAAACGTTCAGCTCCTCTCGGCCACTGAGCTGCAGCGCAGTCGAGCGGCGACGCCTCCGGCCCCACCCCTCTGTCTCTGGTGTCAGCGTGCAGCCCGAGGCCAGGCTCTGATCAGAGGCTCCCCGACTTCTCCTGAATCACAGGCGCCACTGGGGCTTTCTTTAGTTCAACCCCAAGTTTGGTTGAAGGCCTGTAAGGAGTTAGCGTGGGACAAGGATTATTTTTCAGCGAAGCATTCAGCTCACCCTGCTAGGTTAGGCCCATCCGCAGGGCTGTGCTGATTCCTCCTGGGGGAGAGCCGGGCCCTGGTTTTCTGTGGCTCTGCCAGGCCTGCCACGGCCCCTGGTGTCAGAGTGTTGGCCAGTGGTCAACGCCCGGGATCCAGTCTGCCATGCTTCGTCACCCGAGCTGTCTGGGCCAGGGCCTTGGCGACACGCTGCCTCTCCAACATCTGTTGCCTCTGCCTCAGGGCAGCTCTGGGTCCCCGAGTGTTTGGATGAGGCGCTTCTGGAACATCTGTCCCTGTGCCCACACGGTGCCCTGCTGTCACCGTGGCTTTATTGGTGTCCCCGAGGCTTGTAGGATCGAGGACGCCGGCCACGGTGTGTGTGGGAGGGCGGCCCAGGGCCAGCAGGGGTGCGGCCCTGTGGGCACATTCAGGGGGTGTGGGTGGTCGCAGGGCAGGGCAGGCCGGGCTCTGGGGACCTGACTGGGCCCAGGCGTGTGGCCCTTTGTCAGGAAAGGCAGAAGGACCCCCGTCCCGGGCAGGAATCGGGGCGGCCTTGGCTCCCGGCAGCACCGCCTCTGCAGAGGAAGAGCGGGAGTGTGATGTGACCGGGCCTTTCTGTGGGCGAGAGCCAGGAGCCTACCCACCGTGCCGTGTCCGCACTCCCAACCCCCTCCTTGGGGTCTGGCCTCGGGAGGGGCGCGGGCCTGCGTACCATGTGACTGGTGCCCACAGGTCTGATGGCCCGGCCTTCCCACGTGGGCGTGGGCTGCGCTTCTCTGTGCTTGAGTGCGCCTGCGGCTCGGGGAGGGTGGGGGAGCCCCTCTGCCACCCCCACCTCCTCAGCCGGAAGCAGACGGGCCCTGCGCTGTGCAGGGCTCAGCCCCTCCAGCTGGGGTGGTGTCCGCGGGTCGCGGGGAACCTCAGACCCGCAGCAGAGTGCAGGTGACCCCGTCTCTTGGGCCTCTCCAGATGCGCGGGCCGGACTGCGCGAGTCCCTGTGGCCTCCACTTCCTGTCACGGGCCACGGCAGCTGATGGTTTTCACCCCAGATCGAGAGCCCGGGCCGGGGCAGCTGTTGAGCAAACCCTGCTCCCTGTTTGCGCGGCTGTGACTGACTGGACCCCGGCCCCCCGACACGCGCTGCTGCACCCTGTTTCTCCAGAACGAGGCCCCAGTTCAGTGACAGGGTTCCCCGAACCCCAAGGGAGTCACGTGAACCAGAACGTTCCTGAGATAACTGCCCTCAGGGCCTCACTCCAGGGCTGTGGCCAGCAGGGTGCCAGGCAAGGAGCCCCCCCGGGCCGCTTCCTGGGAAAGTGGGTGGGAGGAGGTAAGTGTGGTAGCCCCCCCACGGGAGCCCAGCCTCCCTCCTGCACGTTGCTGGCGGGGCGGGACTGGCGCACCACGTGGCCCCCGTGGGTGTCCTGACATCACAGTCCCGTCACCCAGAGGCTCTGCGTCATGGTGGGAGGAGCATGTGGGGGGTGGGAGGACCAAGGAGGACCGTTTAGCGCTTCACTGCAGGGGCTCGAGCAGAGTGAAGAGTGGGAAGAGCGTTGATGACACCCAGCCTGCCTCGTGCCTTCTAGAACTCTCTGCTCGGCCCGGGCCATCTGCAGACAAGTGGGGGGCACACTTGAGGGCCAGTGGAGAGGCCGCCCGCTCTGTGCTGATGCGCGTCTGCTGCCGTGCCCAGCGCGGGGGCCCTCCCCAGGGTCCTGCGGGGGTCACGGCACTGCAGCCCTGATGGACCTGCTGACGTCCTGAGGGCCCCGGAACCCAGCTCACCGCCTCTGGGGTGAGGGTCGGGTGTCCTGCCCTGGATACCGAGCACCAGCTGCAGAGCTGCACGGACTTACCTGGGAGTCCCAGCTGCATGTGGGGCGTGGACGTGACCTGTGGGCACCAGTCACATGGTACGCAGGCGTGTCCCATGAGCAGTGACCACACGTGGGGCATGGACACGTCCCGTCCGAGAGCCGCCGGGGATCCCGGGAGGGTGAGCTCCTGCTCAGAGCCCGGGAGGAGGCCGGCGTGGGGCTGCTCGGAGCCCTGCGGGCATGGCAGGGTGCCAGCCGCCGCTGAAGGTCACAGACCCCCAAGGTCCTGGGCCGGGGCCAGAGGGTCACGCCGTCCTGCTGCTTTTCCGGCTCCTTCATTGCTCGGGATTAGTGGGAATTAGTGGGAATTTGTTCTTCTGGGTGGTTTAATTAATCTCTCGCTTTAATAAAACGGATATTCAAATTCTGTGCATCAAATTACGCGGAATCATGAAAATGACTGCGAGTCAGTATTTCCAAATGGAGGCACAGCTGGTTTATCTGGGGTCTGGCTGGGGTCTGGCCCCTGCTCACTCCACCAGGGTGGGCTCTGGGGACGGGGGTCCCCGCTGTGGGCGGCACGGATGTGCCGGGTGGGTCAGCTCCAAGGCAGGCCCAGGCACGTGAGGACCAGCTTGGGGCCCCTCCGTGCCTCGGGCCGTGATTGCACGGGGGTCACTGGGTGTGAGCCCAGGGGGCCAGGGCTGGGGAGGGGCACGTGGTAGACGGTTCCAGGTACTGTCAGAAGGAGGTGGGGGGTTGGAGGAATGGGGGTGCAGGGAGTTTGGTATGGTGGTTGGTGGAGGGGGTGGTGGGGGCAGGTGATATGGCGGGGGAATGGTGCGGGGGGCATCGTGGGGAGAAGTTTCTGTCCATGGGTGGCAGCCTCGGCATGACGACACTGGCCAGGACTCGGGAGACCCTGCGGGGGTGTGGGGGATCTAGGTCAGGTCTCCCCGGGTCCCCTGCAGGGGTGGGGTGGGGGGCCCAGGCCAGGCTCACCTCTCAGGAGCGAAGCATCCCTGCACTGCTGACCCCTCACGCCCCACCCCCTCCGCCCTCCCTGCACTGAGCAGCGGGTCCCGGCGTGAACTGTCTCCTCCCATTGGCTGTCCCTGAGGGAGAGAGTCTGGTTCTGGGGGGCTGGTGGCAGGGACCAGCGTGTGCAGGTGGTGTCTTCTCCGTGACAAGCGGACTGAGGGGACAGGCCTCGGCCTGGCTCAGAAGACGCTCAGAGCCTGGAAGCCTGCCTGGTGGAGGTTCCCAGGGCTGTGGTGGAGTAGAGTGGGGAGCCGGGAACGAGTGAGACCGTGTTCCGGGCGGGGGGAGTGGGGGGCAGAGCGCCAGGGGCAGCGGGAGTCCCGCCTTGCCCACGTAGCCTGCGTGTGAGGGGCTCGGGGCTGGCCTGTCTCCCGGGGGTGCGGATGCCGACTCGTCCCCTCTGCGCAGACGCCCGTCACGCCGGCCTCTGGCCACTCCGCAGCCCGGCCATCGCCATCACCGCCACCGCCGTGGTCTCCATGGAGCCTGAGGACGGCAAAGGCCCGGCACCGCCCACCATGCAGCCCTGCCACCTGCTGACTCTGGCGCCCGTCCAGCTGCCGCTGCGCCCCCGCCCCGGCTCAGGTAGGCCCCGAGCCCCGCGCCCACCCCTCTGCCCAGGCCGGGGGACACTTTCTGTACTGTTCGTACCTGGGTGCCCAGTCGGGGATGGCGGGGAGGGGGGCACGGGTCAGGGGGAAGGCCCCAGGCGCTGGTCTGCTGCGGCCTCACTGAACCACTGGGAGATTGGGGCTCAAGGGACCCTCCGGGTGCTGCCGGCCTAGTTTCCAGCCAAGAAAAGGCATGGGTGGTCCCTGACCTGCACTCCTGCAGGTGGGTGCCGGGCGGCCGCCAGGTGGGGACTCTTCCCGGCCTCTGTCCAGAGGCTCCAGCCGGGCCTGCTCCAGCCCATTGCCTGCAGGTGCCCAGGCTGGAAGGCCTCTGCTCTGGCTCCAGGCTGCTGTGGGCCACGGGCCACACCCATGGGAAACTGCACAGGGCCTCAGTCGCACACCCACTCACACACCGCTCACGCACACACTGACACGGGCACTCACACCCACAGCCACAGTGAAACACAGACACTCCGATACTCACACACACACACACGCGTGCACAGAAACACAGATACTCCCGCTCTCTCTCTCTCTCTCTCTCTCTCTCTCTCTCTCTCTCTCTCTCTCACACACACACACACACACACACTCACACAGTGAAACAGACGGTCCCACAACCCCCCCACACTCACGCAGTGAAACACAGGTGCTGCCGTACTCATACACACACACGCACACATATACACACATTACATTCCCACACTCTCATGCACACACACATTACACTGAAACACAGACACTCCCCATACACACGCGCGCGCGCACACACACACACACACACATACACAGACACGTAGAGTGGCACTGTCATTCCTCCCAGGGTCCCCGTCTGGGGGTCGTGGGGCAGAGGGAGGGTCTGACTTGTACTCGCCATGACCTGCCCCTTTGGGCCCTGACCCCTCTTCCGGGGCCCAGGGTGTCTGCTGGAGAAGCTGGTGGGGACGGGCCGTGCACCCAGGGACCTGCTTGTCTGGGGCCCGGGCAGGGGCAGTGTTTACCCAGCAGCGTCTCTGCTTCCTGTGGGGGTCTCCGTTCTGCACCTGGGCGCTGGGCCCTGAGGCCCACATGCCCCTTGGCTGCTCCAGCTGTGCTCCGGGTTCCCATGGTGCCCGGTCAGTCGCACACCTTGGCCCTGTGACCTGTACTCGAGTCCCCCGTCGCCTGCTCAGATGCTGTGCGTTAGTGGGAGGGGCGGGGGGGGGGGTGACACAGCCAAGCCGTCCTCACGGGCTTGCTCTGTTCTGGTCATGCTGCCCATGGCGGGGACATGCGGTGCCCGGGATGAGCTCAGGGACACCCGGTGGCCAGGTCAGAGCCTGCCTCACGGTGGTTCCCGGGCCATCCTCTGCATTGGCCCACCAGTCTTCGCTGTGTGGCCCTGCTACCCTCCCCCCACAGGCCACCGCACTGCCGTGGCTGCCTGTCACCCTGCCATGGCCAGGGTCTCCCAGGCCTGGGCTCAGCCCTGCCTCTCCCGCGTTTCCCGTGGCCCCGCAGTGGCTCCGTCCACAGCTGCCAGCGCCGTGGTTCTGGCAGCTGTGTGGAGGCGAGGTGAGTGCATTTGCAGTGGACAGCGGACAGCTGGTGCTGGGCTCTGGGCTCCCCTCCCTCCTCAGGGGGATTCGGGCATTCCTGGGACTGCTGCTCCAGCCCCTGCACCACCTCGACTCCATGCCAGCCGCCATGCTGCAGGCGGGTGCCCACTCCCATAGGAGACAGGAGGATGAGCAGCTGGGGCCTCCCGGCTCTGACCCTGGCTGGAAGCTTGGGGTGGCCATCACTGTGGTCTGTGCTCTGGCATCTGGGACCCTGCGTGTCTGCGTGTGTGAGCCCCAGGGGGCTGGGGGGAGCCGAGACACCAGCAGCCGCCTCCACGGTGTGAGGGTGTGACAGGGTGAGGGAGAGAGTGATGGAGAGGGCGACAGAGTGATGGTGGCAGGGCGAGGATGAGGGTGAGCCTGGGCCTGGACAGGAAGGATGCCATGACGTGTCCTTCCCGCCCCCCCCCCCGGCTCCCGACTGAGGGGGCCTCCTGGGGGAGGCTCTGCCTGACCCCTGAGAGGGCTTCTGTGGCTGCACATGACCTGGGCAGAGGCTGGGGGTCTGGGGTGGGTGCTGGGGGCTGAGGTTAGGGAGTGGGGCTGGGGGCCGGGGTGGGCTCAGAGCAGAGGGTGGTGTGACTGGGGTCTCAGAGAGGCGGGGGACACCTGCTTCCTGCAGATGGACGGCCTGGGTAGATCCCTGGGGACTGTGGAACCCCCAGCCAGGCAGCCCAGCTTGGCCCCCAGAGAGCTTGTCTCCAGGGGGAGGCGAGGGGGGTCTCACTTCCTGATGCCCTTCCTGGCAGCTGGCCTCCTGCTTCTATCACACAGGATTCCTTGACCTGGGGGCCCCATCCAGGACGACGAATGGGGCCCAGGGGACTCAGACACAGCCCCAAGCATGGATGGGAAATGGATGGGCGATGGACGGAGAGTGGTTGGACAATGGATGGACAATGGATAGGAGATGTATGGGCAGGTCCATGGATGATGGATGGACGGTGGGTGGATGGATGAGTGGATGGGTGAGTGGATGTGTGGATGGATGGATGGGTGCATGGATGGATGGATGGATGGGTAGATGGATGGATGGAAGGATGGGTAGATGGATGGATGGATGGATGGATGGGTGCATGGATGGATGGATGGGTAGATGGATGGATGGATGGATAGATGGGTGCATGGATGGAAGGATGGGTAGATGAATGGATGGATGGATGGATGGATGGATGGGTGAATTGGTGGTGAATCGATGGGTGGATGAGTGTGGCTGGAGGGTGAGTGTGAGTGTGAGTGGCCGTAGTAGGTGGCCGGCTGGCTGATTGTTGGTGGATAGTGGGCAGGTGTGAGTGGTGAAAGGGCGGCTGTGGTGGATGGACAGAGGCACGCGTGGGTGGAGTCGAGTGGCTGGATCTGGATGGAAGATGGCGGTCGGGTGAGTGCTTGTGAATGGTGGTTGGAAGAGGGGAGGCTGGTGGGGTTGGGTGTGAGGATGGGGGATGGGAGGAAGGAGAGTGGGTGATGGATGAGTAAGTGGGACAGCGGGGGTGAGAAGGGATGTGGGTGGGTTGGTAGCTGGTGACCGGTCAGCGTGGAAGGCTGGTTGGCGTCTGGGAGGTGCACAGGCAGACGGCGTGGAGACAGGTGCATGTGAAGGGTGCAGAGGCGGTGGCCAGCAGCTGGGGGGTCTCTCAGTCCCGAGGTGGGCAGGTCTGTTGGGGGGAAGGCCTGGTGCTGGCAGGAAGGCACCGAGGCAGGTGGCCCCAGCTTGCCCCATCTGGCTCCAAGACGGTGAGAGGCACCGGCCATCTGTCCAGGCGAGGGCTGGACGCTGTGTGGGAGCCTGTGAGCGGCGTCTCCCGCCACCGACAGGCTCGTAGGAACCATCTGTCACCAGGCCCTGCCAGGGCTCTTAGCGTCCACGTCCTGCCAGGGCTCGCGCCCGCTTGAAGCATCTCACTCAGCCTGGCAAGTCACAGAGGACGTGCACACTGCACCCCACACGCGTGACACATGGGACATGCAACAGCCACATGTGATACAAGGGGTACACCACACATGTGATACATGGAACACGACAGACATGATACACAGGACACAGTGCACATGTATGACACATGGGACACATGTGAAATATGGGACACGTTGCATATGTGATTCATGGAACAGGCAGGAACATGTGATACGCAATTCACAGCCTGCATGATACACAGGGGACATGCTACAGACCACACCTGATACATAGAACGTGTTCCATGCCACATATGATACACAGGACATGCTGCACATCACGTGTGATACATAGGACATGCCATACAGCACGTGTGCTACACAGGGCATGCTGGCCACCCGTAGGGGACACACTCGGCACAACACACGATCCACAGGACACACTATGCACATGCACACACCACAGGTGAAGCACAGGACACACGCCACGCCACTCCCACGTTGCCAGAGGCCACACGCATGTCTGACTCCGGTCACACACTCTGCATGTGTGCACACCCAGACTCAACCACACAGAGGCTGGCCCCACACACAGTGGGCAGGGACACGTTTGTGTGTCTGGGTGGGACATGTCCCGTCATAGGCACCCATCCACGGTTTCCTGCAGTTGCTCCGTCTCTTGCGGCCTCTCAGCATCTGGACGGCGGCTGGAGACACGCCCCCTGCCCCCCTGCCCGCTCCCTCGGCCGGCTCGGAGCTTCTGCCCGTGGACCCTTTGGCTCCATCACGGTCACTGGCGGGGACTCAGCCTGGATGGGCACCAGTGTGAGCCCTGGCCAGGGACATGGCGCTGGGTGTGGGGCCCTGGGTGTGGGGGCACTGGGGTAAGTGAGGGTCCTTGGCGAGTGTGTGGGTGCCTGGGAATGTGGGGGTGCCCAGGGGGTGGGCCCTGAGCTGGGTGGGGCCCTCGGGGGCGGGGGGGAGCTGTCGCTGTCCCCTGGCTCGCGTCCCGCTGGGCCCAGTGCTGCCGCCTGTGGCGTGTTCATTCCATTTTAATCAAAGTGGATCAGAGTTCAAGTCTCTCTTCTGTTTAAACGTACGTCTTAGTCTCAAAGTGCTTTGTGCCCAGTGGTGCTTCCCGACTCGGCCCCCGTGGCTCCCACGGCGGTTCGAGGGCTCCTCTGCAGCCATGCAGCCCAGGGTCAGGGGGCAGCGGCTGGCAGCCAGAGGCATGAAGGGCCCGGGGTCCCCGACAGCTCAGGGGCAGAGGGCACCGGCCCGTGGGAGTTCATCGGGGTGTGAGGGGCTGTTGGGCGCCTGTGCCTGGCCCCCTCAGCACTGCCCGGGGCCGGCCCCCCACTCCCACCTGCCCGGGGCTTGGGGTCACCCCATGTGCTGCTGTTCTGTTGCTCCTGTGTGTGTGTGTGTGTGTGTGTGTGTGTGTGTGTGTGTGTGTGTGTGTAGGGAGAGGGCACAG